AGGAAAAAAGCAAAACAATTGACTGTCCAGCTGCAACTATGAAATTTAGAGCTTTGCCTGAACTTTGCCGGTCTCAAGGAGCAAATTTCAGTTTAATTTATTCAAGTAACGTGAAAGGGAATGGTGATGACAAGACTGGGAGCACTACGTAGTAAAATTTGTGTGTAGGATGTTAGCTGTACATGCTCTTATTTTTAGCTATCAAAACCATCTTGGTATACTTCAGACGTGAATGTATTATGAGTTTTACAGTATATTTTCAAAATTAATATGTCTGCCTATTTAACATGCATTCCAGTTGAGAGAACAAATGTCATTATTCCAATGCACAGTTAAATAGTACTGAAGACAGTTTGTACATGGAGTGTAATTCCCCCTTAGACTAAATTGTGGAATAAAAAAATTCAAATAAATGCTTTGTCCTAATTTAGAGTGTACACTAGATGGCAGTGTTATCAAAAAATAGCTGTAATTATTTTTCTGAATATATGCAGATTAGGCTATAAAGGTATAAAAAGATTGTACTAAACCTTAACCAGGTTAGGGCAAAGAAGTTGAAATTAAATCTGTTCATACCAAAATAAAATTTTATAAATTTTTAAAAAAAATTTTTTTAATTATGAAAACAATTTTTGCATTCAATTTTAATTAAAAATTATTGAAATTTCTAATGTAAAGTAACATAAAATACAACAGAATTTAAAAGAGACTTTGGAAGTAGTTTAATCTAGGCATAATATTTAATTGCATTTTTTTTCTTGAATAGTTTAAAACAATTTCTATTCCACTGATTTTTGCCATTAGTTATTCTGTAAATATATTTTTCAAATAAAGGAAATATTTAGGAGCTGTGTTATCCTTAGCAGTATCAATACATTTTACTGTTAGAGACCACAAGCTTTTATTTTCTTGTTTGTGTGTACAGCATGGAAATCATTCTTGAATTGTGCAGAAGCTTAAAATGTTTTAAATCAAATATTTGGCTTCTTAACTGATTCAACATTAATTTTATGTGCTCTTTAATTTGTAAACTGAAAGGCTGTACATGAACCAAATACTTATTAATTCTTCCCATGTACTGTCAGAAAATAGCATGCCTTGGCTTTAAAGTTGATCAACAATCTCAGTCAAGATTCAAGAAGGACTAGCAGCTGCTTTATGATCTGTCATGTTGCTGATTTCGTGATACTTCTTATTGCTTCTTGTTTCTGTGTGTAATTTCTATTCACATGAAAATTCTGGTTATTAGCTTTTCAAAAATGAACTTTTATGCTAATAAGCAGCAAAATTCCAATTTTCTGTTTAATGCTAGGGTTTATTGAAAATGTTTCATTTTTACTAAATAGAATTTCAACTTAAAATTTGAATCTTAATGTAACTTTTGCCTTTTAATGTTAATTAGTCGTTAAAATGGCCTCATACTTTTTTTCAAACAAAAAGTGACCGTGTTCCTTTCAGAAGCGTGATCTTTGCAATTGATACGAGACTAAGTTTTTCCTGCTGTAACTTCTTGCTGTAATTGGGTTACATGAGAAAGAATTGGGCTCATTTATTTTGTTTTTCCTCACTAACTAGTACAGGGGAGTAGCACCAGGGGAAAAAAGCAAACGCGCATTTCCACTTTTGCAAATGAAAATTGTTTCAGTTACTCCCTTAAAAGTTGAAATTTCTCTTGGTTTTGTGCTATTTTAAAATAAAATTTTCACACATCTAGTGAGGATTGTTTGAGAGGAAGTTAAAGTAAGATTTTTTTATTATTTTAATTTATTTTAGACTATTGATGTCAGCACATACGTGAATATAGCTCTATATTCACTTGAGAAGTTTTCAGTGCTCTTTTTCCTCCAGAATATTCACTGGTTTTCTTAGTAGTTCTAATTTGTCATGATATTGTTTTTAACACATTGTGTGTTACTGTAACATGTCACTGAATTTGTTTGTTTGAATTTATTTGCTTGGTTTTTAAACCAAGAGATAACGGAGGTTAAAGCAATATTGATTTCTGCAACCATTTCAGAGGACAAGATCTTTAAATGTTTTTCTTCAGATGCACTTTTGTGTAATAATTTAACAGATTGAAGATGATATTGCAGTTACGTTCTGTGCCTGGGACAGAACTCGCACAGTTGATGTTCTGGTTGGATATATGGCTAGGTCGAGCATGTGGCTGAAGTATTTTTAAAAGATAAAACATTATTTTTAATGCTGAAAAAATGCAAATGTACTTTCCCACAATGCTAAAAACAGTACAACTATGGGGTATGCAGTCTGCATCCTACAACAACAGATAAGTCATAGGGTTTCCTTACTTAGGTACAGCAGTTGATGCTTTTTCAGGCTTAGGGAACAACCAGGAGTATGACTTGTGTGTCCATGGGGACCCACTGTGCAGATTATGAAATGTGCATTGTGTCCAAGTGCAATTATTACTGTACAGAGGGATACAAAGAAACTTTATAATACCTACCGCAAGTGCATTTTGCAAAGGTTCTGAGAGTCTACTCAGTTCTGGTTTGTGGAAGAGTAGTATTTCATTTTAGGTTTCCCACATTTAGACAGAAATATAACATTATTCTCTTTATAAAAACGTGCCTTAGTATAGGACATGGGTGAATTTATGCACGAAACGTTGTGCAAGAATTATCAGCACTGATTTAAATTACATCAGCTTACTTTATATTGAAGGGGACAAGGGCTGTTAATTTCATATCTCAACCAATAAGCAAGTAGATATTCTTGTTATGGTTTACAAGCCAAAATTAACCAACACTTTCCTCTACAACAATGATTTTTCAATTGCGTTTTCAAATCAATTCAGTTCTAACCATTTTTCATTTTCTAGACATTTTATCTTGCTTCTGCTTTCTTGTGAAATAT